GCAAAAACAAGAATGTATTATCCTGTGTATTCAGACCTGATATAGCTTATTCCTCACTGCCATAGAGCTCCATTGTTGTTCCAAAAACTATTAAAAACACATCATTGAGCCTCACTGTTGCAATTGGTGACAAGTTCTTTCAATATAATGAACACACACGCACACACACACACACACACACACACACTGTAGTTTATTTTGAGTCAATCCCACATGCACCGACCTGTTGCCGTAAACACAAGCACAGAATCAGCAGCTGAAACCAGCCCAAAAATGGACAAATGTATTTACTTAACTTCTGCTAAAATGTACAGTGACCAGGTTTTTTTTTGAAAGATAGCATGTATTTGTATACTTTTACATAAAAAGATCAAATAAAATGATACCTTTTCAAAATCCAACCCATGATTATGAAATGCTATTTCAGCACTCTTATTTTTAAAGTGTTGTTTAACTTCCTACTGCCCTTTTATGAGATATTAATAATATTACATTATTAGCTTATATTACATAAACAGAAGTTTGCTGCAGTGCACCTCATATGTAGCATTACTAAAAGAAGAGAAACTGTTAACTTTTGAGATTTCAAAACACTTTTGTAATGTAGATTTTAAGCAAAGTGACAGAGTGAAGGCTTTGGTTTAAAGTGTTTCCAAGTGTCGCATCACCTTAGCAGCAGAGAGCAGTGTGTGTGTATGTGTGATGTCCTGCCACGTCAGACCCAGCAATGTCTGTCAGGAGAGATACAGTGCTATTCTGATTCATCCCATTTTAAGCTCAAAAGCATGAAATGCAATTCAACCTTTAAGCACAGACACAAAAATATAAATAACTGTCACAACTTCCCCTTTCGTGAAACTGTCTGTATTCATATTTCTTTCTGTCACACTGGCACATCTGCCAAGGTTCCGTCAGAGAATCAGGACAAAGCAGTCAGCTGTTCCCCTGAAGGCAAATACATGCTATCTTTGAGTTGTTATATCTGTGTTACACACAAAGCTCTATGTGTCATTGTGAGTGTGAGGAGCAGGGACAGTGTTTGCCTGGAGAGCATCTTTGATCCCCCTTGCTGTCACAGTTCATCCTGTACAGGGGTGCCGCCAGGAATTTTGGGCCCCATGAAAAAATATCACATTGAGCCCTACCGCCAAACACCATAGGCCACGCCAACCCTGCACACTTGCTGTAAACACACCTCCAGAATGCAATCGACCCCAAAGCTTTGATGTGTATATGTGTATGCATATATGTATATAAATAACTGTTTATATTGATTTATTTTATTATCATATGTTATTCTATGAATTTAATTATCTTTTTCTATGTGTAGCATGAAGAAACTGCAAACTTTAATTTTGTTACACAACCTTGTGTTGTATAATGGTAAAAATGTTTACCTTGATTCCTTGATAAAATGTTACACACTGAACCTTTAAGATACAGCGGTTTGGGGCAATTTTACTGGAGTCTTCAGTGTTACACTACACAAAACTACACACTGTACTTCAGCTTGACCATCTTGAGCAATAATGAATAACTACCTCATATTCAACCTTGTATCTGTAAGGCACCCACCCAGGACCCAGGTTTATTGATGAAAATGTTCTGCTTTTGAAAAACATTTTACATTATTTCAGAAGACACTCTCATCCCAAGTGAACAGAAAGAAGAATCTGATTTCCTGGAAATAGAATAAAATGAAAGGATAATCAAATTGGCTGCAGAGATAAAAGGTGAAAGGCAATGTACTATTCCACAGCATCTTGCATAATATATGTGAGGCCCTTGTACAGGGCGGAAATTGTCTTTCTAAAAATATTAGGGGAATAAAGGGAAATGTGTTTGAATGGGCAGCTGGGAATAATTGCGTGCCCCTGATAACCACAATAGAACCAGAGTTTTTACTTTTACTTTTCTGTGATAGATAGAGATATATTCAGTTATGTCAGATACGCTCTTTGTGACTGAACTCTTCTCTTCTTCCATTATGTATTTCTAAATGTGTAAGATACTGTAATAAATGAGCATACATTATTGTTACTTGTGATATGGAATGAAGTTTGAGATTTGGTTTCCAGGGGTTAGGTTACATATCTACATGTCATAGACAAAACTTCTGAAATGCTAAAATTTGGATAAAAACAAACTCCTAAAAGCTATAATGTAGGCTTACAATGACATGGTGTAATACAGAAATGCAGGCAGTGATAAAAATGTAAAAAATTCAATATCAGTTCACAATATAGAAATGGTCCGAGACACATAATGCATTTTGTTCAGACAGTTCAGACAGAGTGATACCAACATTAGGGTGCCATGCTGGGCTGCAGAAGTCACACTGTGTCTGAAATTGAGCCAGCACACTCACACCTCTCACTGTGAATTCACACTCAGTCACTGTATGATTCATTCACAGAAACACAAAAAGCTGAGTAAATTATTTCACAGATAAAACGGTGGGTAAGCTGGTATAATCTAGATTCATCAGAACTAGGGGTGTAACGCAAAGGGACGATCTGTATCTGTGTTTAACAGAAATATTTGCAATCATATCTGTATTTGGATTGTACAGGAGGTGGGAGTGACTTAAAGAAGTGGTTAGAAATATCTAATATGCTTCATTTTCTACATTAAATTGTTTTCTATTGTCTTTTATTCCCTCAAAACTAAAGTATATCTGTGTTCAACAAATTAATATACTACTTGCATGAAAATGTAAATTAATGCAATAAGAAAATATATTTAAACCCCACCTTCCAAAAAATAACAAAAGTAGGCTTCAGCTGTCTAAAAAAAATTGTATAACTGTAATCTCCTTAGAAATTAAAAGTGGAAACAGAGCAGGACACTAATGGAAGAATTGCATTTGGCCATAATGCATGATTTCCTTCAAAAACATTAGCTTGTATATATTATGTTGGAGGACCAGATGACTGTTGAAGTATCTAAGATGAAAAATGAGAGAGCTATTGACCTAAAACACACCATAATAGGTCTGTGATGAATAAGGACAACCTCTGCAGACTGGTTAAATGGGCTGTCTGGGAATCAGGAAGCTAGGTTGCAGAAGAAGACTTTTGATGTTCAGTTTGTGAACAGGTAAATGGAAAGCTGGTGTGAAAAGACTGTGGTGTTTGAGACTATAAATAGATCGTGTAATGTTTGCTGTGCCCCCTTTAGGGGCTATGTGCATACAAACAACCAGTAAGTAAACCTGATATTTGTTTTTACCTCATAATTTTACCTATTGTATTTTTTTTGACCATGCAATTGGAGGAGGTCTAGATTGAAATACATTTTATTTATCAAAAAAAATGAGAAAGCTATTGACAAAAAATTTGCATAGCCTTTTGGTATGCACTTTTGAAATGGCCCCTAACTTCAGCTCCACAGTTTCCGTCTTTTATCAAGTTACACACAGCAGTGAGATAAAGGTAAGACATGTGGAACATCAGTCAAAAATTGTGTCTATTATATGCATATCTAATTTGGTTCATTTCATTTTTAAGGTCATTTGTACAGTGTTTTGCCATACAGACATTGCATCAGACTACAGTTTCATCAGCCACTACTATTTACTTCTCATAATCTGATAGGCTTCATGAGCAACTCTCCTGAAATGTCCAGGAATAAAAATTAATAAGAGAAATAAGACGAAATTCTAATTAAGTTTTTGATTGATAGCTTTTCTTAGAAGAGTTTTTCATGGTTAAACATAACTCATCAAACCACAACATAGGTGGTTTCTCTTCCTTTTCATGCTGCAGTGTTGTTTTGTTCCCTTCACAAATGACTGTGCAGTCAGGTGTGGTGTTTCCTTTGTAATTAAGAAGCCAGACCTAGCTGCTGTAATTCTCTACATGAATAACAGCGCTCATTAACACCCAGTGAAGCTATCTATGGACCAGTCTGCATATTTATGCACATTAAGTGCTGCTCCAATTCTCCCCACGGATGCAGTGTGTTTACTCCTTGAGGTTGTTTGACATGCCGCACAACCTCTCAGGATATAGCCGTGCATCATGTTTTTTAATGTGTAAGAACATGTTGTAGTGGGGTCTGATCCCATTACAAGATGAGACAGCTAGATTAAAAAAAAAAAAAGTCAAGGAACCCAGGCTTTACCCAGATACAGAAGCAGAAGAAACACTCACTCTCTGAAATATTACCCAGTCACAGCTTTCAGGCTCTCCATCAGAGACCATGAACCTCTGGAGGGTTGAGAGGGAGGAGGGGAATCTTCCTCCATAAACAGGAGTTGGGGAGGATTTGCCAGGCCTGGTCTTTAATGAGGGGAGAACCTTGTTATCCAGGACATCTCTTACCCTGGGGAAGTCGTCTTGGGTAAGCAAGCTCAGGATGGTGGTGGCAGAGAAGGTGGAAATGTATTGTAAAACTGTATAAAAAGTGTATTAAAATGGGTAACACCATTTTAATGTACATTATATATCTTTCGGGCATCCTGGCAGCCTAATGGTTAAGGTGAATATCATATAAGCACCAATCCCCCCTGTCTATGTCTATGTGTAATGCAATGGTGAAGAAAATGTAAAAAAGAAATAGTCACAAATTCTTACTTCTACTTTACTTGATACACTTCTACTTCGACCTCACCACATTTCCAAAAGAAATATTTTACATTAATCTGACAGCTATAGTAATTTACATACAGCATAAGAACTAAAATATGATGCATTGAAAAAATAAAATGATAGTATATAAAATTTGAGATAAAATGTCATGGAATGTCAACTCATTCTTAGTCAACGCACTTGTCACCAGTACTTAAGAATCAGGGGTTTGTTGCAACACTTTCACTTGTAACAACCCTGCTGTAAGTGCTAACTGTACGAGCTGTACGAGAAGCAGGAGAGCGGGCCAGAATGGGCGCCATAGCCACAGTGAGGCGAGGTGTCAAGGGAGCTGGGGTCAACAGCCTCCCGGTGACGGGGGCTTGGAATGAACACAGCCTCCGACACAACCAAAGTCCAGGTGATCAACAGCAGCTCCAACAAGGACTAGAAACTGCAGGCTCAGGCAGGGACAGGAGAGGTGAAGAGGCAGGAAGGAAGAGGAGCGAGTTTGTAGTGAGCTGATTTGTTATACATCATCTATCCTATGGATACGTTAGATAGAACATCAGTTCATTATTACAGCTTTTCCCATTATCATTTAACAGGCAGCTGTTAAAACACATATATCTAAATAATTAAATACATTTATATCCTTAACATAGTTGCAGATTGCAACTTACTGAATACCACTCGCCTTCCAAGTGTGTAGGAGAAACTATGGTGTCTGCAAAAGTTGCAAAAAAAAAGTCCTTATCTAGAGCCAGTTTTGGCCAGGTTTGTCCATTCTGGGCTACTGTAGAAACATGGCGGTTCAAGATGGCAGACTCCGTAGAAGAGGACATTGTCACTCTGTAGATAAAAATGGTTCATTCATGCAATCAGAAGGGACACTCCACTTCTTCCAGCTAACTTAAGCAAGCCAGGAAAAACTACTGTTCAAGTAGTAGCAGTAGCTAGCAAGTCTTACCTCTCAAAAACAGATTCAAAAGTGAATGACATCAACAGCCCCACCCAACTATTTTGCATACCGAGGTCCAATCACAATGCAGCAAAATAAAGGTAATTGGAACGCATATTAGCACCAGGTGTAAATGCAAAGGCCCGTGGGTCGGATGTTATTATCCAGAGTGCTTAAACAGCCACAGATGTGATAATCAGTGTGAAACAGGTATTTTTGCTGCAATGGTAAAACTTGGTGCAGTGCTGTTCTGAGCTACAGAGCATCCAAAAGTTGACACCTCAGGTATCAAACCTGCATGTGAGTTCTATCTTTTTAAATATTCAACCTCGAAAGATAAAACCACAGAGGAAAAAGGAGGCAGAGTTACAGAGATAGCAGGCAGATTAGAGGCTGTAACCCAATGTTCCTGGAGGATAACAGGCATTTAAGGCCACGATTGGCTCCATGGAAGGAACTGACTGACCCATGTCTGCACTTCTGCTCTGTTTTTTTGCTGCTGGGGACAGACTGTGTGGTCTGCATCCTCAAATACTCTCCCTACACTCATTCTGCAGTTCTGGAAAACTTTGCCTGCTCTGATGATAGACATGCTGTTTTTGTGTTAGTCTGTGCCTCAGAGACTTACTGGGGGTTAGTTGAGGTTTTAAAAAAGTAAAAACTGTGTCTTTACTGAAGTCAAAGCTGGTTATGTTAGGATATAGGACATGATTCTGTCAAAATTCCAAATGGAGAAAAGCCTTGTAACTTCTGGGGAAAAGATGTAGGGCATGGAAAGTAATTTCTCTGTGGCTTGAATGATGAAGAAAAACAAGTTCAAGGTTACAGCGGTCCTGTTAATGTAATGTTTCCTGTTTCTTCCCAAGCAGTTACAGCACGTGGAAACCACTCTGCTATTTGTACAGAAAATACTATATCTATATGCTCGCTAGCTACAGAATAAGGTCACGAAACCCCTGGGCACAATTAGTCTTCATTAGTAATGCATGGGTCAGCTGTGACATCATCCAGATCTTCCCACATATAGAGCTCAGCCACCCGTCATATTTAAGTTCAGAAACCTGCATCTGCATGATTATCATTTATTAATAATGGACTGCTGTAGGTGATCTCCAACCAAGAAAAACTTGATGCAGTAAACAATGTTGCTGCTGTGTATATGAATGGATATTAGTAGACTATATAGTGACCACTACAATCATTTTTAGTAGCCTTTAGGGTGTTAACTACAGGGGAGCCAGGCTCCTCTTTATAAGACATGAGCTTCCCTAAAAACATGATTTGCGACAATATGCTATTCTGCCATGCATTTCTATCTTTCTGTATCTTCCTCATCATGGATCACGTGTAAAATTAGGCTACAGTATGATTCATGCATGATCACTAATTCACTTTAATAAAGATACCGGCATGCACGCCTGCTTGCCATGATCAAGTGATGCGTGCGGCACAATATCATAAACTTACTTACCTCAAAGGGTTGGGTATTTTAGGTTTGATAGGTGGCCCTCGCATTTTATGTCTTAATTGTACTTAGAAATTGATGTGCTCATTTATATGTGATTTTAACCGTTGTTGCATCCCTTTTGGGCAACTTGGCATGCTCTGTTTTTATTTTGTATATTTGTGTTTTTATAGGCAGTTTTACTATTTGACCTCTATGTGATTATTTTTGCAGATAACCTATGGAATATTGCCCTGCTTTGGTTGGCAGTATTGCATAGCCTATAGTGTGATGTAGGCTGTTGCCAACTTGTTTCTTTGCATGAATGTTTCTTTGCAACACACACACACACACACACACACACACACACACACACACACACACACACACACACACACACACACACACACACACACACAACCCCCCAGTTAAAAAAAAGTGAGCTCCCCTGACACTGACAGTTTGTGGTTTGCACACCCGTGGCCTTACTTAAACTGTTGAGCACAGTAAAAAGTAAGGAAGCACACAACTATTCCCAGAAAATGTGTAAAACTCCCTACAGCAAGATTTTAACACCCACATTTAATGATCCTTTCAAGATACTGTAAGTAAGTTTTCAGTTTTTGTTTTACAGCTCTGTTATCACAGACATTTTCCTCAAATTCTTTATTGTGTGGGTCTGATGCCCTTCAAAAGAGCTCCCACAGCCGTCTGCTGGAGAAATATCAGATAATGACGAGGACACAGCTCAATGCAGTTGCAGATTAGACAACAAACATCATTACCAATAATTAATCCCTCCTGAAATGTGACAGTTGCACCATTTTTTTACAAATGAAAACTCATAAAGCAGCATTGTCAGATTACACTGGCCCACAGCCAGTGTAGTTAATAAATATCACTGTATCAAAAGCTTGCATGCTGGCATTAGCTCACTAGCGATAGGGTCACGTGACCCTCACCTTGCACACTGTAGTGGAGTCTCCCCAGGTGGGGCTTTGTACTGGTGAAGTGACATTTTCAAGGAGTGCATGCTCTCAACTAAAGCATTTATTTTCGTCTATTTAGTAGCTATTGTGAAAATTTCGATCATATCACATGTTCTTCTTGAGCAGATATAATTTGCTCACTTGTCAACGATGTTCAGATTTCCATTATTTCAACATAGTAATTTTTTTTCTTACTGTCCATGTGGAGTCTTAACCTGAGAAAACTCATGAAATGATGATATATGATTGAAAGCTCCAAAGCAGCTTTCACCTTGTGGTTAGACTATTTTCTTAATCTTCCCCATGCTCCAAGGAAGGCCAGAGCATGAGTCAGCGATGATATTTTAATAAAATATGAAGCTCCGCAGACATTGACTGCTTTGCTGCCATGCCACCGTTTTCTACCTTTGAACTACTTTGTGTTTTTCTCATTCCTATCCGGTATCAATTTGATTTCTTAAAATGATTTTGTACTTGTGAGTGTGCATAATGCAGCATTTGTTAGTGACACAAACAGAACGTACACTTAAATGTGTGGTTTTTATGGAAGAGGATTATGGCCAAATGTGAAAAATGTATTTGAGCTCTGATTTTAATCTCAGATCATTTAATCTGAGAAAAAAGTCATAATTCTGAGTTTAAACTTAGTTTTTACTTTAAACTCTGAACTCAAATAAAATGTTCACATTTGGTCCTACTCCTCTTCCGTGGGTTTTTATATCAATCAACCCACATGTTGTTGGATCCAAATCCTGTAATGGCCCGACTCTGATCAGGGTTTTCGGCAACTGTAATGATAGTAGGATTTACGAATCCTGGAACATGGTCACTCAGGGCAGATCCGCCATGACAGTCCACTTACTCAGGCCCTCAAATGACCTAACCCATGCAATGTAGTGTCAGGCCCCAGAGCCATCCAAGCTTACCATGCCACTGCATGTCAGCATCAGCCTGCAGAAACACAACATGTACCCACCGGTGTCAGTAACACCCTGTGTGTGCCATATCCATGCTGGGTTGATTTATACAAAGGACCCGACCCCAGCATCCCCTGGCGTGTTTCAAGTGAGAGGTATGACACGTTACCCATCATTCTGACCACTGCACAGCAAGTCATTGCTTTGTGCGTTGAAATTGCACAAATCAGCACAGATCCTTGTACACTGTGGACTATTGCAGACATCAAGGCACTCTGGAGAAAATGAGATAGGAATTATGTCAGTCCGGGTGAAGTTGAGATAAAAACAAGAATGTGAAAGTGGTAATAGCCGCTGATGCATTCCTGCAATCAAAACCTTTCTGAAGGTTATTAAAAAGTACTGACTTTTTAGAGATTGGCCCCTTTGGTCCACTCGCACAACATCTGATATGAAGACTGGCACCAACTTCGTCTCTTTGTCTCCAGTTGCATGTCAAGGAGCTGTTATGGGATAATGAGCATCTGTGGCACATATCTGTACCTTTAACTGGCTTGTCTTTTTTAACTTAATGAGACATCTAAAGCTGCCAGGCTTGTTTACTTGTTTACATCTCTAACGATGTCTTCATCATTAGTGTACTCCATTATGAACAACACAAAAAGTAATTGCATGCATATACACATATTGGGTAAGGTGTCCAGACTCAGTTCATCAAGTTCATCTAACAGTGAATAGTGATATCAGACTGGCACAAAGGTGAGTTTGGTTTGGCACTTTCTGTCTTCTGCTGTAAAGCCAAATCAAATGACTCACCGAGATGGCTATAAACCTCACTGGAACGTGGCAGCACCACTCTCTCCCTGCAAAAAAACATTAATCAGACAGACAGAGGATAATTGCGGACCCTACTCACATTGAATTTTGAATAGCAGACGCTTTATGCACACTGAATAGCTGCAAGTCCTTCTTTGTACTCTCAAAAGCAGCCCTCTTCTCTATTATATGTAGACACTCAAACACGTAGATAGACAGGTGGATATGAATGTGAGTAGAAATATATGTAATACATCTAGCATACCTTATTACAGGCTTAAGGATGAATTTATTTATGCCATTATCACACATATACCTATGAATATTATATTCAGTGTCTGCCAACATTCATTCATGTTACACATTGGACCCTGTGGTAAGCCCAAACT